TGTTTACTTGTCAGTATAGATTGCAAGGCAATATTGGACTTCATCGTATTCATTTGCAACATCACTGATTTCATGTTGGCGTTTGACCTAAAATTTAGAATTAGCGTTAAGAAGATTAATATTCGAAGGAGAAATAAGGTACATGAACAAACTGGAACGAACAGTGAAAATATACGAAACATTACCCTTTTTTTGTAGAAACGTTACCATTTTGGATTGTTCCTAACGAAGGAAAATACTTCAGTTAAAATAGCATACAATGGCCTTATAACAAGTATATAAATAGCACTAGGATTTCATAAAAATAGATAAAACAAAATGCAATTACATGTAATTTCAATTTCAGTAATTATGCAGAATGGTCTATGCTACAGTGTTTCTTTAGTATGCAGAGGTAAAGGATGGCTGACCCAATACAAACTATTACAAGAATGGAACAAAAAGACGTCCAGACGTAGATTCTACAAAAATCTAAACAAAGAATTTCATCATATAATAAGTAAAATACCACGTTTTTTTTTCTTCAGAAAAACCCAGGAGTTATTGCAGGGTATTCCAAATAACATGCAACGTCAATGCGAAGCAGCGAATTTACCATGAATTTTTTTTTTTAGAAACTTCGATTTAGCAGAAGGATCTTTTGGACTTTTAAAACCTCATTTTAGGAGTAACTGATTTATCAAAAAAAAAAAAAAAAAAAAAAAAAATCAACGCCCACGGTGAGTTGGTTGTAAAGACTCCAAGTGAGTAGTACCATTGTTGAAGGTGACTTTATATACAGGAATCGAAAGCGTTCTCTTGAACATCCCCTGTATGAGAGTATTACAAGCAGCTTATACCATCGTTCTTGTCTTTTCTGAATGTAATCCATACTCTCAACCCATTGTCTACTCTGCTCTTTTTTTGCAAAACATAACATACTAACATATTTAAAGGAAATGTGTGTGGGCGAAAAAATAAAATGTACATCACATGTATTTAGAATATTTAAAGAGCACTTTTATATCCACATATATTTCCATTTCTATTTGTTTTCTCTGTGATAACTCTTTGAAAGTTAGGAGAGTTGATTTCTTGATCATTCCACCGGAATGCAAATTTCGCCCAGCGAAAGGTCAGGAGCTAAGAAGGCCTAATATGCATGTAATTCTCGTGCGGCTGTATTTGTGTCTGACTCTAATGAGGCCTAATATGCATGTAATTCTCGTGCGGCTGTCTTTGTGTTTGACGTCAGTGGGCGGGGACTGTTGAAATTGCCATGTGAGGCCTCGTGTAATTTAAATCTATTAGTCTACATTTTTAAAATCTAAATTTACAATTTTATTTCACAATGAAATGGAAATATAAGGAATCACTGTCTAGTTAGTAGAGTATGCCAGGGACATCAACGATAGTTGGAAACGTAGGATAATTTGCATAACGGGCAAATCAGGTATTTCCAGTGTGATTCCAGTGAAAAATGTTGTACAATTAGTACATGACCAACTACTTGTTTTCTTTTTCAATCTTGACAGTTTGTACGAGTAAGGGTAGATTTGGCACGTGCAAGGAAACTTGAGACATCCGAAAGTGGACTTTAAAAAATCAAACAGAAAATCCCGCTTTCTAACTCATCTTAGCCGAAGGTTCAAGTGAGATTTTTTGGTCGAAATCTGTCTGTTGTATGTCGTCGTCGTCGTTGTAAGCTTTTCACATTTTCATCTTCTTCTCAAGAACCACTGGCCCAATTTCAACCAAACTTGCCACAAAGTATCCTTGGGTAAAGGGGATTCAAGTTTGTTCATATGAAGAATTCGTGAAAAAATAATGGCATTTAAAAATCTTCTTCTCAAGAATCACTGTGCTAGAGAATATGAAACTTTTGTGGAAGCATCCTCAGGTAGTGTAGATTCAATTTTTATCAAATCATGACCCCCGGGGGTAGGGTGAGGCTATAGTGAGCAATCAACATAGGACATAGGAATATATAGGGAATATCTTTAAAAATCTTCTCAAGATCAGCAAAGCCATGATTAGACAAATTTATATGGAAGCATCCTCAGGTAGTGTAGATTCAAGTTTGTGCAAATCATGACCCCCAGGGTAAGAGTGGGGCCACAGTAAGCATTCAAATTTTTATTAAGGAATACATAGGGAGTATCTTTAAAAATCTTCTTCTCAAGAACAGCAAAGCCATAATTAGCATCCTCAGTAGTGTAGAATCAAGTCAGTTCAAATCATGACCTCTGGGGAGTAGTGTGGGCCACAATGGATGATCAAAGTTTTACATGGGAATACATAGAAAATCTTTAAAAATCTTCTCAAGAACAGCAAAGCTGTGATTGGTCATAATAAAATAAAAGCAACCTCAGGTAATGTACATTCAAATTTGTTCAACTCATGACCCCCAGGAGTATAGAGGGGCCATAACAGGGGATCATAGTCATACAAAAGAACATAAAGGATATTTCAATAAAAATGTCTCTTAAGAACAGCAAAATCATTATTTGTCATATTAATTAAAAGCATCTCCAGGTAGTGCAGATTCAAGTTTGTTCAAATTATAACTCCCCACCACTTTATATTTAAACTTTTCAATACTGAACTGATTTCTGCTTTTTCCTAGCCAAAGTGCTCCGGTGAGCGATGTGGCCAATGGGCCTCTCGTTTGTCCCCTTCGTCACCTATGACCAATGTCTGGCCACAATGTAATGATACTTTCATTGTCATTTCATTTTGTCTGATTTCAATTCAATTACTCTCGGGATAAGCATGAACCATTGCCAGGACGAATACAACCTAAGAGCAAAACGTAGAAAAACTGGATTTACAAGATTTTGCTTTATTACATTTTGCATAGAGATTAGCAAATTACATCTCTCAATTTTTTTAAAATACAAATTGAATGAATTTTTTTATCCAAGTATCTTATTTAAAACATTGCCGTTGTATTATATTTTATTGTATTGTATTGTCTCCGCTGAGAGGAATTTTATAGCCTCAATAAGTAAATAGTCTCTCCCTGAATCAGGCGGAGGAGGGCTAAGTTGAATATTACATCGTAAAATATAATATAATCCAAATGATAATCATTTCCATCTGCGCTATTATATTTTGCGTAAATCTCAATCATGAATATTAAGAAGACAAAATGAAAATATATTTAAATCAACATACCACAAATAAATTTTCTTATCTCTCAAACAGAAGAGTAACATTGCTCTTACTCCGATTTCCTTCAATGAAAATCTAATTAAGAAATTTCAATTATTTAAAATGTAAAAAAAAAGACTTGAAATTGTTTCCAAAAACTTTATACTAATAAAACCTCATAATATTTCTAAATTTAAGCAAAGTTAATTGAATTTTGAAAGAAACTATTTATTTTTGTTATTTTATCCTTATATATATTAGAATTTTATCGAAATATTTGTAAATATGATTTTAATAAATCAGCAATAATGTCTTAAATTTTAAAACAAAAAATGATGCAAAATGCTCACCTCGAAAGTGATTTACCAATTTGAAATCAGCTGAAATGCTGCCAGTGGAATTGACTTAACATTGTGACCATTCATTGAGGAGGGCAAAAGGTTAAGCAGTGGTATTTTATTAGGTTCACTTTTGGATATGTAACGAGAAATGACAAACACTTAGTCAGTTTGTAAGATTTGTAAAATATTCCTTAAAACCGTTCTTAACACATTTAAGGTAGAACCCATGTCGGAAAAGTCTTTGTCATAGGATTTTCAAACTTTTCAAAATGATAAATTAGCACTCGCTTATCAATCAGTTGAAATTATATGGCATGTTTCCTTGTTATTAAATGTAGTGCAGCCTGTGCAACGTTGAATGATAATTATACATTGCGACTACTCATTTTCAGCCATTTGGGGGGAGGGGAGGGGGCACTATCAGAAGGAGAATGAACAAGATAACAAAAATAGTTCTTCAAACATTGTCGTTAAAAGACTTTATTAAGTGAACAATAGTTAGCAAAATTATTCAAGAACGATTTCTATTTTATTCAATCGATATAAATGATTAAGCCCATATTTCAACAAATATAGCATGTGCGCTTAATATTTTTTGAGTCTATTTACCACCCTAAATTTTTTTGTAAATATTTTTTCTTAAATATGATGAAGAACATATCCAAATGATTATGAAAAGTGAATAAAACATATATCTTTTCCCGCAAACTTACCTTTTTGCACCTACACAGGATTTAATGATTAATTGACTGCTTTGAGGTTATGTTAAGATTTACAATGTGACTATTTATCAAAAATGGCATTTTTTGTATTTTAAAAGAGACTTTTTTAGGAAAACAATACTGTTATACACAAACCATTAAAAATACAAATGAAACAAATAATAATGAAAATGAATGCACCTCATTCCATGATAAATATTACAAACTTTAAACACAATCTCTAAAAAATATGACTCAGACACATATCTTCAAGATACTGTACTATTTATGATTCGGAAAATAAAGATTTTTTTTTTTTTTTTTTTTTTTTTTTTTTTTTTTTTTTAGAAATTGTGCATTTCTTCGAAATTAGTTGCATGCCATTCACATTATCACATTTGTGTATTTCATTAGATACGACAAGTCTTGGATTTGTCCACTTAACTATAACGTAGGTTCTACTTCAACTCCTGTAAAATGTATAAAAGGTGATTTCCCTATTTTGCAGCCAATATGTTTTGGCGCCACTGAGAAATGTACTGACAATCGGTTGGAGGAATCGCATCACAAATGATCATCTTAGTGGGAACCTACCAAAGATCACCTTCATTAACACGCTAAATAGGGACATATGAGTTGAGCTGGAGGAACTGCATGTCAGTATGCAAGAAAGAAAACAGTGGCCGAACGTTGTAGCTCAATCTGGAATGAGCTTGAAATTTATAGTATGTATAATATTAATGCATTAAAGTTTCATGGAGCTTACAGTAAATATATGAAAGTATTATGAAAAAAAAATTTTCATTATTCATTAAGCATTGTGATTTTTAATTTTTTTTAAACCTTTTTTCATATTAATAATAATTGAATATACTAAAACTAAATAACATGATAATAAATGCAAATAAATCCCAATCCAAAAGGTTTTTTGCCCATTGTCAACTGCACAGTCGTCACCAAAGTCCCTATCTTGAAGGAGTTTTATTCTTGAACGTGAAGTTTGCTGTTATGGTCATCTTCAAATAATTTGTTATTCTTATCTTGCTTGAGGTCTTTGAGGGTTGCAGTATCTGCAATTTGTTTCATTTCTCTGCATAATATGACCTATATCAAAAAACAAATTAGATTAAAAAATATAGAAAATGTTGGTGCCTAATAAGGAAAATGAAAAGAAAGAAAGAGAATGAGTATTGACATTTTATAATAATTCTTTTTTTTATTTAGAACTTAATTGTTGTCAAAGAAGTGTTACAGGATATATTAATCATATCTATGAAATTTAAATACAAACAAACGTCTTCCTTCAATTAACCAGCTTTTGATCTATCTCTTTACTATTCGACTAGACAGATGGCTGAGAATCACGTTTTCAGTTATCAATCAATTTCATCTATGTTTAGATACAATCTGCACAGAACGTAAGCTACCAACTTACCTTTATCACATGTTTTAATGAAGTTTGGGTCCATTGACAGTTCTTCACTTTCATTTTCTACTTTCAGTACATCTTGGGTTGTATCACTTTCTTTTGACTCCCAGTTACTCAATCGCATTGCTTGTTGTTTGCCTCGAAAACCTGTTTGGGTATCTCTGTTTATTCGTCCTTGTGTTGGTTGTCCTTTGAACTCTTTCTTATATGCAGGTATTACACTACGATTATGATCAGTCATGTTACTCTGTACTGAAGGCTTCCAAATTTTTCCAATTTCTCCAGCGATAGATAAGGCCTGCACAGTGTTAGGTCCTTTAAGACTAGTTACCGTAGTAATCATGATGTTGCAGGAACCACACTTACCTTTACCATTTGGTAAATGCGAAATGTGTCCTAAATAAAGGTTGTCAAAATTACACTTCATAACAACTTAATGAATTACATTTAATTTTGTAGATACTAAATATTAGCAAACATAAAGCACTTACCATATTTACATTTGAACCAAACGCCTTTTTCCCATGTCGCTTTGAAAGAATTGGCGAATCTGCTCTCTATATTCTTTGATATGCTTTTCCCCAACACCATTTCACTTCCACTCTTTATAGCTATCAAATTCAATATCTTTTTTAACTCGTCATCCAATGGCGACTGTCCAGAGAGAAAAGGACGAATTTTTGATCCGTATGTAATCAAATAAATGTTTTCTTCGGACAATGATCCGGTATTTGATAGTAATAAAAACTCAACCAAATACGCAAGTCCTTTTAGAATAGAGGACACATTTTGTATTTCTTGCTTGGAAAAGCACGATCTGTCAACAAAGATGTGGTGTTTTTGCCCCTTTTCAGATCTTGTTTCTACGCATTTAAACAGCCAATCGCGAATGAAATTAAGCTTTGTTGCCACTTGTTTCTCTTCTTTTGTTCCCTCAATGACGGAATCAGACATGAGTTGTAGAATTTCATATATGGCTGATAAAATTTCAATTTGTATCAAAGCAAGCTGTATTTGGTGATAGCCTGGTACATATGTTTTCTCTTTTACTAAAGGTAAAAGTATTCTCTTTACAATTTCGTCATTATCTCCCAATGACTTAGACATTTTCAGTACTCTCTGATGTTCACTTTTAAAATTGCTGTAAGCAAGTTTTTCACTTAAATATTTTGTTATTGCAACAGCATTTTTCCTACTCTCCTCGTAAACATTTTTATACCTATCTGTTCCATTTATAGGTTTTTCACAAGTAGGGCATGTTTTAGCCGCAATAATGCTATATGGCCTCTTTTCTTTATAAAATATGTAGTTATCTAAAGTTTGCGCTTCAAAAGTATGCCCACAGCTCTTCAAAGTAATTATTGGTTCGTGTTCTTCAAGGTTACACTGTTTTTCTGTCGATTGCATAATGCATACCTTGTCACATGTTTTACAGAAAGGAGGACATAGTTCTCCGCAAAGTCCAGAACACTGATGACCACATTCTCTGACCTTTACACAAGGAAATGTACAAGGAAGAATGCTGCATTTTTCATTACAAAGCTCACGGCATTTGGCATGCTTGCACCCCCTTGCACAGCGTTTATCACAAGGATCGCAAATTTCCCCACAAACCTTAGTGCACTTTGTATGGCGGCATGAAAACTCGCATTTTTTCTTGCATGGTGGACATCCTTCAACACATTTCTGCTTACAAATATGTCCACATATAAGTGTTTTTCCACAAGTTTGCTGGCATTGTATGTGTAACTGACCTTGCATGCACTCCCCACACGTCCCAGAACAAGCATGGCCACACAAAAGAATTGCAGTACATTTCACTGTGCACAATGGGCGAGATTTGATTTTGAAACACGGACCTTCCATAGTATGCCCACAATATAGGACTGATGTACATATTTCTTCACATGCTCGATGTCCTTTTATTTTTCTGCATTCCTCACATTTTCCTTGACAAGTATGCTGACAAGAAAGCATTTGATTACAAGTTTGCATACATTTAAAATCAGAAACATCTTTGGAACACGGCATAATATTTTCGTGCTTACAAGCTTTCATAGGTTTCCTTACAAGTTCTATGCATTTACCACAGTCCTGAAAACACTCTTTTTTGCATTTATGTCCAAGATGACAAATTGTTTTAGTACATGGCTGTGTGCATTTGTACTTCTTATGTTCTGGATCTTTATTGTGACAAAATTGCAAGCACTGGTGACCACATTGTAAGTATATATTACAAGGTTTTCCACAGCCACCTAAAGGCATTTTGTCAAAATCTGTATCACGCTGTACACAGCAGATAAAATCTGAATGATTTTCACATCTCAGTTTTAATGCTTTTCCAAACTTATCTTCATTTTTAACAGTACCAATGATTTTCTGCCACAATTCACTTTCTTCTTCAAAAAGACTAAAATTGCCAATTACGAATAAACCTTTACGAGCCCTTGAGAGAGCGACACATACCCTGTTATCTATCTTTAAGAATCCAACCTTTTGTTCTTCATTGCTTCTCACCAAAGACAGGATGATGATATCACTTTCTTCTCCTTGAAAATTGTCCACTGATGTAATTTTTACCCCTTCAGATTCATGTTTAGGTATTTCTCGCTTCAGAACTAATACTTGACCAGTGTATGGTGTCAGAATAACAATATCCTCCGGTTGATAATCTTGATCTAGTAAATATCTGCATAGTCTTTTCACAAATCTAGCTTCATGCAAGTTTGATCGACTTTTTGTTTCAAAATTTTTCTCCTCAGGTTCATCATGGTCAATGAAAAACAAATCCGAAGTAATTCCACGGATCCTATCATACTTAATAACACACGGGTGATCTTTTAATTCCGGATATATGTGTTTCATAAGCACAGATATTTCCGGGCGCATTCTATGTTGTAAATTCAGAGTGACGAAATTCAACTCATTCGTGACCATTCTTTCAAATAAAGATATCTCAAGTTTGTATTGTTTTGCTAATTGATAAACCGTGGGTGTCGGTCTCAGTTGTTTGTGGTCCCCAATAAGAATCATGTGTTGACACTCAGAGTTGATAGTGGTGACAATATGTGACTCCAGCACTTCTGCTGCCTCTTCAACAATGATGATTTTGGGTTTAATAGACTGCAAAATACTTCGAAATTTTGCAGCTCCGGTTGTTGTCAATCCAAGAACGTCGGCTCCTGCCATTATTTCTACACTTTCTAAATCAAGGGCTTCCTTGTAAGCTTTACATTTTTCGTTATATTCCTGTTCAGTATCTTTTATAGATTGCCTTTTCGCAATGATATACTGATCCACCCAATATCGATATAATCTTCTTCTATCGTCTAAGGATAGTTCCCAAACGTCCTCAATGTCTTCACTTTCGCTTTTTGTCATTGCATCACTACAGGTCAAAACCTTTTTGAGTTTCATTCGAATATGTTGTTTGGAAATATGTTCCATCCATGTTGACCTTTCAGAAAGGTTCAATTTATCTGAGAGAATTTCTACAGATGCTTTTGACAGGATAGTTGTCATAGGAAAGTCTTTTTCCTTTTCCCTCCAGTCAGTGTCACTTCTATGTGAATAGTCATCATCAAGAATGCGGTCATCAAAATCCTCTTCATCGCTATCCTCATCTTCGATCTTCCTTCCGTCTAATATTTCAGCGATACGATTGCAACTCTCTGTTGACCCATCAAAATTAAGCCACAAAAAGAAAGACTGTGACGACTGTGCATATCCCTGTATCTCTACGATCAGTTGACCCAGAAAAGGATTGACAAATGTTTTTATGACTTCTTCGTCCATAATTTCTTTTTCACTTGCCTTTAAAATGCCTATTAACTTATTGATATTTTGAATACTCGTGGTCATTTCTAATGGTGCATACGGCATGTTTAGATGATTAAGCGCATTATTATATCGCTTGAGATTTATGTCCAAATTCTTTTTCACCCCAGACTTAAATTCTGATAATAAAACTTTGAAAAGACTCCCCCTTTGTCTTAAATTTAATTTCCAGGGATTATGATAACGCTTGAGAAGTTTCATTGGCAAAGGATCGATTTTTCTGCCTCTGATTAGTTCCTGTTCCCATTGCAATAGAATTTCATATTTCTTTTTGAGAGCTTTTTCCTCTTCCGACTCTGTACCACAGTTTTTAAGTAAATACATTTCCCTGTCGATTTCCAACCATTCGTCAATGTAACTGCCACTTTCATTTTTTAATTCTGCAAAATGTTTTTTGGAAACGACAGCTTCCAATTCTTCTATGGAGAGAATGCCTAATTTTGCAATTTTAATTTTTCTACTTACACTTTCAATGGCTTTTCGGTGTTCTTCCATATTGTGATAACAGTCATTTTTTCTGTCGTAGACAGCCTGTGATAAAATGCGCGAGAATTTTGCCTTTCTTCTATACGAAGTTAAAGTGTACTCTTCAAGTTCCGGAACTTTTGATCGTGAACCGATTCGAACAAGTTTTTTGGTATAATTTTTTATGCCAAGAAGAAACTGGTCCAGTGCATGATTTGTATAGCAAACAACCAAAATCGGCTCAGGTTTATCCTTTTCAGCCCAAATATCTCTATTAAGTAATAATATCTGCGCAATTTTCATTCCAAGAAAAGTCTTTCCGGTACCGGGGGGACCTTGGATCAAGGCAATTTCTTTAGTCAAAGCTAACTGAAGAGCTTTATGTTGAGAATGATCCAAATGTAATGTCTCTGCGGAGGGCCATTTTGATGTACTGAGTATTGGAATCTCAGTTCGACATCTGCTTTTACTTTCACAGCTTGAAACGTCTGCGGGTCTCTTATCATCGTCTTCCTTATAAAGAAGGATTGAAAAGTCATAAAGCAAAACACCTGAAGACAGAAGATATTGAGGAGGTTTCGCATTTGCTTGACAATGTACAATATACTTCTGGAATGGCATTTCTTGCGTTATTTCTTTCATACCCTCCAGTATATGTCTGTAAGCTTCAAAGTATGCAGTGGTTTCAGCTACAACATACAAATGATTTGCTGTAGCTTTTTCAACTTTGCTTAGATCTTTTTCTTGAAACTTTACTTCTATTTCGCCATTTTCCAACATTCTCTCATTACGATCCGTAACACTTGCAAAGAGAATATTTTTGAATCCATCCTGAGATAAACAAAGCAGTGCCCCATACATTAACCTTCTTGAAGATTCCCATCTAATGTTTCTTAGTTTGGTCATATCTAAACGTATCAAATGTGCAATACCCTCATCTCTACACACAGGGCGGACTATCTGAACATTAGTATAAATTCTCACATCCCCAACTTTTCTGCGAAGATTTTTGTGTACTGACTGCTTTTTGTACTCCATAATTCCTTCTCGCAATGGCCGTAAAAAATCTTCTCGAAGCAATCTAAACTGAATGTCCAAATAATGATCTAAGTTGTCATATCCGCCTTTTATTTTGTTAGCCCTTAGAAAGGGCTTTTCATTGAAATCAAAATCTTTCATTTCGGGAAGAACAGAGAGCTGCCTGAAATTTTCAGGTGGTTCTTGCGATTCACAATCATCACTCGACAACGTTATTGCTTTTCTATTGTCGACCTTTTGAATATTATCTTTTGCAGCTTTGAACTCTTTCATTTTCGTAACGACCTCGGGCTTGTAATGGAGGATTCTACTAGAATTTTTGGCTACAACCCTATCTAGATATTCAATTAAAATGCTCCACTGAGATACGTGGCTTTGCATTCTTTGAATCAATGTATGAGTCAATGAACAAACGTTTTCCATTAAAGAAGAAAATTCGATGTCTTGTAACTTTACTTCCCCAAGTTCTATCTCTCCAAGAAAAAGAAGAAGATTAACCATTATGAAATTAGAAGTATTCAAAAGGGCCACCAGTTCCAGCTTTGTTTGGTGTTTTTCGGATTGAAATGATTTCACAAGAAGTGAAATAATCATTATCATCCAATCTGGTTTTAATTTCTGACTCAAGAGATCACCAAAACCATTCCTCTTTGTAACTAATTCTAGGAGAATTTCGTCAGCATTCCTTGATGAACTGTCTAAGTCTTTCAGTCTTCTGTAGCCCATTCTACGGCTTTGGACTTCATTGTGCATCTTCCCTTCATTAAAATTTTTATCAGCATTTTCGTTGTTTGTCCACCTGTCTTGTTCTTGATTGTAAAATGGACGTCTCCTGAAATTTCTTCGCCCCTGAAAATGCCCTCGATCCCGATTATAAAGTCCACGATGGTTGTGATGTTCTTTTTCATATTGATTGTGAATTGATTGTGTATCAACTACTGCTTTATAACCTCTTCTTGATGACCTTCGCATACCTGACCGTCCTCTTGATTCTGTATGTCTGGTTGCACTACGGTAACCTTGATGACTTTGGACATAGTTATATTCTTTATCGGAAATTTTGCTCGGTACATTAGATTCTATAAATTGAGATGGATCTACAAAATCCTCATCAGAGTATATATGCAACGGATATCTTTGTTTTTCCCCGGACTTTCTACTGCGCTGATCAAAATGAATTTCTTCCTCGTCGTTATCACTGCTATCAGGGTATTTTGCAGCCATAGCTATGTATTTTTGCAAACTGTCACAGTCCCAGCATGTATGATTGATCGATGTCTCTTCTCATTCTGCAAGAAAATTAATTTTAAAAGAAACACTTGAATTAATGGTGTTTCTACTTACATCCTCAACTAAAATTGAAGACAGTATACAAGTTATAGGATTTATATTTTCTCTTTCTGCTACATGCACAGGCTGACAATATCACTAACGTTTATGTAAAATATTACATTTGCTTGCATCTAAAGTTTTCAAAGAATATTAGATATAAATAGTATTAGCGTAATAAGATACCTTCTATACACACAAGAGCTTGTGCAGATGAATAATATGCCCTTATAGATCTTTTTAAGAAAAATGAATTGAAACACACAGTGTGATACTTAGTTTGTAATCTTTTCAAGCATACTTAAGACTTAAGGTCAAAACAAATTAATTGAATACTTATACTCGGCACTCAGAGCCATTGAGCAGTGAGGGTCTTTATCGTGCCAACGTCTACCGTGACACGGGACCTAGTTTTTTTTTTTTTTTTTTTTTTTTTTTTTTTTTAAGTCTCATCCGAAAGATCCGTGAATTTCCATAAATTTATTGGCGTGATAAATTCACAGCATTCAGGTCCAGCCTTAATTCCAACTATGTCCCAAAATATTATCTTTAAATGGTGTTAAATTAGAATTGAATAAAGTAATATTCATATTACATGGGAAATGCTTCTGTGGCACCAGACTAAGTTCACAATATGGAGTGATTTTTGATTGACAGGTGTAGCACCGTGCATGGACTTCGTGTGGCTATATATGTACAGATTGTGATTGACGGTGAAAATAATTAACAGTCAGATCTAAAGGAAAGACTGATCGTGATTGATATTGTAAATAAAACAAAGAAATTTAAATGACATTTGCTCTAGGTACTGTACATGAACCAGGCCCGTAGCGACGGTTTCAAAAGTGGGGGGGGGGGGGCTTCCAAAAAAAATCTGACAAATCAAAAAAAAAAATACATAAAACAAAAAACAGGAAAAAAAAAAAAAAAAAAAAAAAAAAAAAAAAAAAAAAAAAAACAACAACAACCAAGAACTAACCTGACCAAAAGTGGGGGCCAGCTTCCCAAAATTATTTGACATGTAAAAAAAAAAAAGAAAACCTATTTTACTGTCCAAATCCTGGAACTTTACAATATCAAAGAGTGGGGGGGGGGGCAACCTGCATTTATAGGAAAAGCTACAATGCAAAATATTATATTCAGCCCCTCCCCTTTTCTACGGGCCTGTGTACGTTATATGCTGATGCGTTCTCTCTCTCTCTCTCTCTCTCTGTCTCTCTCTCTCTGTGAATTCTACTTTATATCATCCATCCCGAAAAAAAACCCGTTTTGAAACAATTACCCAGAAAAGTGTTTTTTTCAAAGGGCACATTTATTAAAAGAAAATAATTTATTCTGTTTGGAAGATAAGTTCTGTAAATGATACGAGTAGTTTGCCTGCGCTGGCGATTCCGACTTATGTAGTAATACGAGGGGTGATCAAAAAGTTCGCGAACTATCTCAATATATAAAACCATAATTCAGATCAGAATAAAATTTGGCACACATATAGTCATACACATATTCTATAGATAGAAGGTATCATATGTTTTGCTCCTTGTTTGTGAAGTCACAATGTGAAAATGACGTCAATATGTAGGCGACTTGTGACAAAAAATGGTTGACTCAGTCGTACTCGAGCAACGAACGGCTGTAACGTTTAACGTATATTTTGGAAATTCCTTTGCAGTAGCATATAATAATTAGTACAAGGTTTATGAAGACAAAAGACTTGCCAGAAGTTGAGTCATTAATTGGATTGATTGTTTTAGTGAAGGCAGGGAGATGGTTAAAAATGATGTTTGTTCTGTTGCCCAGCGAAAGCAAGCCGGGGAAAAGGTGTGTCCTTAGTTGAGCAATTTGGCAAATTAAAATTAGAAAAAAAGTTGAATATCTTTACAATAATATAATTATTAAACCCTTAAATTTCGTTTACTTTAGACTTTAAGCATATGAGATATGATAAAAAAGAGGTAGTCCATACTTTATTCACATTGGATAAACGACTCTCCCGAGGCTGAGAACTCGGGTTTTGATGATTACCATGCTAATTCTGGGAAGGGATGTCCTTATCCACCCATCCTATTGCCGAGATTTGGCCATTTCAGACTGATGAAATGTTCTTGTTATAAAAAATAACTTGCATGGTAAGAAATATAAGACTTGGAAAAATCTTTTAGCTTCTGTGAACAGAATGCCACGGAGCATGTGACGTGACGGCCTGGATCACGTGATTCGCGCATGGGCAGAACAATGGCAGATGTGCATTATAATCGTAGAGGACTACTTTAAAAAATAATGAGCATTGAAACCTCATTTTATTTCTTTTAAGGAAGTCATTCAATTAGTTCGCGAACTTTTTGATCACCCCTCGTAGCTTGTGAATAATATATCATTAAAATGAAATTTTAACAGTGTACATGTATTGTTAATCATTTTCATCATAAGGTATCTAATAAGTTTGCAATGTTCATGTACAGGCATGTATGTTCTCATTGTACAATCTAAATTTTCGGAGCTGCACAATCATGCAGGTGGGATTGATCCTTTTGACACTCAGATTTTTAGTCCCATTAATCATTTAAAATCATACCACATAAAATTAATGATATTTACAATTCTGGACATACGAAATAAGTTTATAGGCACCTAAGCTATTACCGATATTATAATGTACTAAAAAATTATGATAACATAATACATGTATTTAAAAAAATCATTTATATATTGAATTACAACGCAAGAAGATATTTTGAAAATGAATGATGAATAACTAAACACAGCGATAGGTTTCTCTATAGCAGAGATCAAGAATAAAAATGGGGAAGACTACAAAACCAAATATGCTTTATGAAATTGCTTGTGCAGTTCAACATTACCTCCGAGTTTCATTGATAACAAATCTTTTGAAGGCATGCGTAGAATTCTAGATTAATGAAGGAACTGTCAAGTCGCGGACTTGGAATAGAGAGAAGACGCGCAGAAGTGATATCAGAGGAACAGGAGAATATGATTTGAACAAAGGGCATTCTTTGGACAGATTATCCTCAAAACTCCAAGCAATTCAATGAAGTGTCTTTAATAATGAGGACCATTATATAGTCAATTTAATCCCTTGGAATAATTTTCTTGAGAAGTCATCTCTCTTATCAGAGGGACATTATACCGTAAAATAATAAGCCTTACAAACAAAGGCAATGTTGCTACCTGCTTTGTCAGCTGGGACAAGTACAAACTGGTCTTGTAATCTATCTAATTCTTTTTTCACTTCAAAGTTACTGAACACAGAAGGATAGATGGTTTTAATATTGCCTATCAATTGCTTAATCGAGATTTTAACATCCATCTGATACATTTAATCCATTCTGACAAAGTGTAAAGGTCTTCTTTTTCATGTTTGGCTCAATGCCTGACGTAATCTTCCACAGAATTCATAATATTTATGAAATTATGACGCCAATTAAAAGATCGGGGTTCCCTAAACATTTTGGCCTTTTTAAAATAAGTGATTTAAGGTCCTCAGTAATTTAACAATATTAACGTCACCAGTAATGACGTGTCCTTCAGAACTATAGTTGTAGGGTGAAGAAGAACATAAACATGTTGGAGAATTATGTTTCAGATGTTCGATATCTAGGCCCTTTAGAGTTTTCTTGTAATTAAGAAGTTTGGAAGCAATAGTCGATGTATATTTGTAAGAAATACCAGGTGTTTACTTTATCTTGAAATATGGTGTAATACAAGACTGGTCCCTTTTGTAATTAAGAATATTACTTATATTAACTGCGTCAATTCCTTTTTCAGCATATTGAAAATTAAGGAAAATACGAGTTGTTTTAGCAGTATTTTCTTCCGTAAAACGTTGCGCTTTAAAAAACCTGTGATTTGCAAAATCAATAATGACAGATCCCAGCCTTTATCCTGGTGTCGAAGAATTCAAAAAGGGACTTTCCTTGACTTTTTCAAATAGACTATTTAAATGTTTCAAAGGGACAGAGTAAAGTTTGGTGCAAATGTGATGGAGACCTAACTGTTTATTTACATGAGGTAGTAGTGAATCAAGGAAGACATCGTGTTTAATAGGTTTATTTTAAGACTGATGTCCATGACTTCACTTAAGTCTCTGTGCACTGTTAAAATGTCCCATCACATTCACATTGCCACACTGTGGACTGGAGGATTTGACCGAACAGTCAAATCACTGTCTGCACACAGCTGACTGATGACACGAAATATCTCGAATACAAGAAGGATGTCTTCAAAACCAACAGAGGAGGATTGCAACATAGCAATGTAAAGGCAAAGATAACTAGGGCCTACCAAAACAAGACCACTCTAGAGAGATGCCCCGTTTTGGTGTATGAAAAATACCTGGAATCATCATTGTTCGTGGGGGATCAATGTTCGTGGATTTCGTGGGTCACCCTTACCCACGAATTTACATCCCCACGAACGACTTTTCTGTCAACGTACTGATTAATTAAATCTACCAAATAAACGAGCTGCCCACGAAATTACATCCCCACGAACCAATAAAATTTTGCTTACCCCCACGAATTTAAATGATTCCACAGTACTTTAAGGCAAGTAGTGTTTGAACATCAGTCTGTAGCAATTAAATAAGATTGCTTTTTTACATACTTTCTGAATTTTGTTTTTATTTTTCAGGTTTGAAAATGGCAGATGTGATGCTTTATACTTAAGACCCCTAAAATACACAAACCAGAATACATGGCTTGCAGATACAGTTGTTGGCGTCCACGTTCTTCAAAAACAGTTGGAAAGCTTTGTTCTCAAGCAGGATTTGAAGGACATTTTACAAATCGATTTTTGCGTGCAACAGCAGCAACGAGATTATATGAAGTTGGAATAGATGAGCAACTTATCACTGAGAAGACGGGCCATAGATCAACTGC